AGACGTCAAGGAAAGAGAACAAGAGAAATTTCTTTTCACATCCCAGGCATACTCCGGTCGATCTAGCCTGGTGGGTATTACGCTGTCCCCAGTTTCATATCTGATAGCTCGATGGTTCAAGGTCGTGATATGATAATCCGATGTACGATGTCCAAAGGATACGAAGGGGGACAAACGGGAAGAACGCGAGGTATAATTGGGCGCCTGCGCGGCATACGTGGGTCGAATCGGCCGATGCTGAAGAGGGAATGAGCGTAAACGTACGTTTGGGCGGCGAGGATGTTGCTGCGACTCATATATTCGCTTGCGACTCACTTATGATGGCAAATCATTTATTGTCCTCCTCCTCTCCCGACGCTCTCCATTCACAGGTGGTGGCGGATGCTCTTGCCCCTCCTGCGCTCCTCCATCAAGCGAATTCCTCACCCTCGAACTCCTTAGCACCCGCATATTCGGCAACCTCGCTGTGTCCCCATCACCAGACTCACCCGTAATACTCAGACTCCGCTTCCGCACGTCCCTCTCCTGCTGTTCTTGCAACCCAACTAGTGCACTCCCTGGTGACGCCTCCCCCTTTACTAACGGAAACGCCGTAACCTCCCCCGCCGCACTCACTGTGTGCGCGGACACCGCGGTTGTGGCCCCCGACGAGGGAACGGGAGGGAAGATCGCTGTCCCGCGTACGGTTGCGTTAGAGGTGTTAGAGAATTTGCCGCGGCGGCGGTTGGAGCCTCTGCGATCTAAGGACTCGGAGGGGAGCGAGGGAAGGGGCGGGGGGACGGTGAGGGGGGGTAGGTTGCGGTGCCGATCGCGCAGATCATGGTCGCGGTCTACGGAGGTGAGGTCACGGTCACGGTCTAGGAAGGTGCGTGAGGCCGGGCTCGGCGATGGATAGTTCGGGTCTGGAGAATCTTGCGATGCGGGTGAAGCGTTTACAACGCGCGGGGTGAACATTCGTCGAATAGATAAGCGGTCCAGCGCTGACGAACGTTCATTCTCGCGCGCTGTTTCTTCGCCGTCTTCCCTTGGTAGTCCCCGGCCTCCATCTCTCTCTCGGTCACGCGTCAGGCTCTGAGACGTCGAAGGACGACTATTCGGCTCCACTCTCGCCGCCATCCGCCGGGCCGACGCCTCTGTATCCTCCCAGCTCCGCCGGGCCTCGCGATACACCAACCCCTCAGTGCTACGCCTCCCATCGACATTCGCACTCTTCCTCCCTGTCCTCGCAGGTCTATCTTCCCCATCCAAACTCGACCGCCCACTCCCCCCGCCTCCCCCACCAAGGTCCGGCGAGTCCGTCCCACGCTCTTTCACCGCCTCCCTCACAAGCCTTCCCACACCTAATAAAAGCGCAGTCACCGTCCTCACAAGCTCATCGCTCACCCTCACGCTTTCGCGATACTCCCCCCCTACCTGGCGCCACACCTCCGAAGCGTCGACATGCGTCGCAGCATCCCCCACCTCAGCCTCGATCTGCGCCTCGAGCGCATGCGCATTTCCGGCACGGAGCAACGTATTCAGCCCGTTCGCGCTCTGCACTACGCTGTGTGCGATGCGCGTTAGGTCCGGAGCGGACGAGGACGTCGGTATGCGTGCTAGCTGCGTCTCGAACATGGTGAGGGAGTCGAGCATTAGTCGGGCGTGCTCCGAAGATGGCGTTTGCGGGGCCCGGCCATAGGGCGAGGTACGCGAGCGTTCGTGCTGTGGGGTGTGCCGTGACATCGTTCTCTCTGGTAGCGCGTATGACGATCGATACGTTCGCAGCGGAGTCATGCGAGGTCCCTCCTCATCTGCACCATACGACCCGAGCGATGTGCCTGCCCGTGAGGCACCACTAGACAAAACGCTGTGAATATTACGTGCAGCCCCATACCGCACAGAGCCAGATGTAGAAGGTGGTGTTCGTGGATCCTGTTCCTCGTCGGGAAGTCCAATCGCAACTTGCGCAATCCCACGCCTCAATTCGTCCAGGTCTCCATCCCTACTGCCGTTCAGTGAAGGCCTGCTCCCCAATCCACCGCTAAGCCGTGTTCGGCGTTGCGGAATGCCTTCAGCGAAGACATCTTCCGAGCCACGACGCGCGAGTCCAGCAGCTCGTAACCCTTCGCCCACAAGACTACGGCCTTCCCTCCCACCCAGCGGGCTCTCCGCACTCCCCGCATGACGCGACTGTCGCCGTCCGTCAGGATCATCCCTCGATGGACTGTTCCCATTTCCATTAAGTGCCACCTCGTCCACGGAACTCCAGCGCTGCACGCGCCTCGAGGAATCACGCAAAGTTGACGGTCGCGCGGGCCGCTGAGCACGGGGAGATGTTGGCGTTACAGAGAAAGTTCCACCAGCACCAGCGGATTGTGGCGAGGCAGCCCCACGTGCGACTAGGACGCCCGGTGATATCGTGCGCTCATGATCTTGCGTGCGCTGCGTCGACGTGGAGCTCTCACCGACGGACTGCACCCCGGTCAGCTATACAGCGATACTGACAGAAGTATTAGACGCACCCTGCCATCAAAGCTTCTCCGGTCACGGAATTCTCTCGGCAATGGGGCCCTGGATTTTTTACTGCCACTTCCGCCAGCCGTTTGTGGCTGTGCTGGCAAATCCTCATCTTCAGGATCTGGCTGCTGTATTGACACTCTGCGTGACCGTCTGCCTGAGCCGATCACGGCAAAGGTGGACGACGTTTGCTTGCGAGGAGTATTTGGTGTCTGAGCACCTGGCGGTTTAGCAGGCGAGGAGGGAGCAGACCTTAGACGCTGGCGTGGCTCGCTGCGTTGGATGACAGGAGTTTGAGCACGGGAAGGCCCCAATGGTGTGTCCAGGTCCATTACGGAGGAATGCAAACGGTTGTCTCGGGAAGAAGGACGTAGTCGGTCAGGATGCCGCTGCTCGCGCTCAGTTTCAGAACCGGAGCCCCCAAGTTGAGAGGGTGCGAAAGATACACGAGAGCTTGTGGTTGCTGTAGATGAGGAGGACGAAGAGGAGAAGGTGGGCGGGAGGGGCGATCGGGAACGGGAGGACGAGGTTGAGGGTGCAGATGGTGAGGAACGAGAGTGAGAGTCGGGCGAGGTGATGGAGGAAAGCTTGTCGATGACCTAGGTTAATTGAGTGTGGCAAGATGGTTCCAAAAGGTGCAACAAGGATAAGTATGCACATTCATTCCAGGACATGGGTAAATCAGATTGATTCGCGAGTGGATTGATTATGTATATGCGCGTGGTGTCACGACGACGGCAGGAATGTGAAAATCAATGTACCGCAAGGGAGAAATTGAGTGGCCGGAGATGATATAGGGTGCCAAAATAAGCTATGGGTCTGGCGTATCAGGGCAAGTAAAGCACCTTTCTATTTCTTTCGGTCAGGCTTTTGACTCGCTCCAAAGTGGAAAACGAGGGCCTGTAGTCTGCATCCTTCCCCTTTCCGGGATATTTTTCATTTGAAAGCCTCGCTGTGTCGTCATCGTCGTGATCTGGTACATTATCGTCGTCGTCACTGAAAGCTGTGTGCTTGTTGCCGTTAGGCATGCCCGTGCGTCTGAGGCTTCCGGCAGAGGTTGAATTGCTATCGCCTGTGCTGCCAGAGGTTGTTGCTGGCGGGGAGGGCAGCTGAGAATGAGTTGACGAAGCCGAGCGAGCTGGAGAGGGTGGCGACGGGGGCGGTGGTAGTCCGATAAAAATTGCGCTAGAAGGGCGGGCGCGAGCTGAAGCTAAGGCAGGGCGGCGAGGGATCATCGAGAGTCGTGACTGAGCATTAAGGAGTAAAGGGGAACACCACGGGTAAAGGGTGCAACGCTGGGAACAACGAACGGCGTGGTGGTGCTTGTTTGTTTTCGGCGCTTCATCCACCTTTTGCATAGCCAGCAAAAATTGTCTCCAGTGGGAGCTTCAACCTGGCCACGTACTTAATACACATCCAAACCGCTTGTCGTTGCACAGTATTACGACGTGTATTCCCAACGTAGTTCCATACATACAGTAAGATGTCATCATAATGGAGACGGATTCATGCCGCTGCGGGTTGACTCGGCGTCTCGTCCTGAGGTGTAGGCTCCTGTCCTTTTTTCTCCGCCTCCTCTATCGCCTCCAAGGCCTTGCGGACAAATGAGACGTGCTCATTGAAGTTCAACACGGAGCTCAGCACGTCTCGCACCACACCCTTGGAGTCGATGACGAACGTCACACGTCCTGAAGTGACGACGGTATGCGTCTAAGTCCTTTGTTGGAGAAGAATAGCAAAGCAGTACGTACCCTCACTCAACCCCAACAGACCCTTCTTTATTTGGTAGGCCTTGCGTGCCTCTCCTTTCACGTCACTGAGAACCGGGTACGGCAGCCCATGCTGATCAACAAAGCTCTTCTGTTTCGCAACGGCGTCGCCACTAATACCAAAGACAGCAACGTTCGATCGCTTAAACACTTCCACCTCTGGAAGAGTGACGGCGACCTTCAGCATCCACCAACTGCGTACACCGGCAAACGACACAATAAGTACCTTTCACCGCGTCTCTAAACCCGCATGCTTCCTTGGTACAGCCGTAACTGCCTACAGTACGACTCCAAGGTTAATCGTGTCAGAAAATGCCACACTGTACCACGCACCAGAAGCCGGGAAGAAGAAGATGACCACCGGCGTACCCGTGCTCCCAGGCTTTATTGTGGTCTCTTGGCCATCCTGGTTGGGTAGCGTGATACTCGGAGCTTCCTGGTTTCTGAGGGGATGGGGAGCCATTATTAAGACGATGGGTGGTCAGCAGTGCTGGGTGTAGGATGCAGGGCAGAAGGGGCGGCTTATGCAGAAGGGACGGCTTTTATGTATGTTCCCTGAAGCGAGGGAAGCTTGGCTCCTGTGTTTCACCTTTTCACGCGTGAGAGACCGAAAATGACGGCAGCATCTTCGCTATTAGTTCCGAATAAGCATCATCGGAATCGCCGCGATTGAATGGTCGTAAGTAAATTGCAAAAGGAGAGCGTGAGGTCGACGGCACAAGTCGAACAAAACTATGCATTAAGCGAGAATCGAACTCGCGGCTAGTCGAGCTAGCAAATGGCAACGACTAAGGTTACCACTACCCCATTAATGCGTGAAAGGAAGGGGTAATGTAGCTGAAATACCTCTTCTGTGACTGAGACGTTCCTGATCATGTGATGTGGGTCAGAGCACGATCGTCGTCAGTCACGTTTGAGAATTCCTGCCAGTGCTGAGTACGTATTTATAATATCTATCCTGGCATTCAACTTCGACGTACCAGTGGAAAGCTTGACGGTAACATGCACATAGCACGAAGGTGATATTACCGTGCAAATTCTCACCCTGGCTGATGTCTTAGTCGTAAAGTCCCACACCATCAGAGCTGTACCCGATGACAACGATACCAAGAAAATAATAATCCAGCTGAAATCAATGTGTACCAAGTAATTACTCCTAGGGGTCGCCGCCGCGGCGCCCCTGCTCGGTCAATTGTTCCATTCCTTCAGCCAAGCCTGGGCAAACTCAACCTCCTCTCGATGAATATTCTGAATATCGGCGGGCTCTGCTTTGCGGTCTTGAAGTCCGTTTTCGTCCCAGTGGTGTACGCCACCTGGTCCAGGATGAGCATCATTACACAAGATTACAAAGTAAAGTTACCGGGGATGAGCTTAAAGGGCCTGAGAACGGTGTCGTTGCGCTGGGCAGCGTAGTCGCTGTGAGGGGTAGCCGGACGCCAAGGATCAACTAAACGTGGCACGTTAAGCTTGTCGTGTAAAGCTGCGATGGAACAGATGTACTTACTTTCTCCATCCACAAATGCCAGTCGGTCAGCAGCGAGATCAAAGTCACCAAGAGCATTCACGGCTGTAACATTCGGCCACGATGGTACAATGAAGTGTTCTCCGGGAGGGAAAGACTACAGATGGAGAACGTCAACATGGGTGGGTTGATGTCAAAAACGGGCATTACCTGTTTGCATGGTCGAGAGGCGTATTCCAAGTCTAGAAGACGTGATACGATCGTAGGGTGCTCGGGGTCGGGTGGAGCAGTCTGTCGTCATGATAATAATTAATGAGATCAGCAACAGTCCGGGTGGATTTTAGGAATAGACATACACCGAAGTAGCCCCACTCTGTCAAACAAACCAATGAACTTACACGGGAAAGGATAGTAATATGCCTGTATCAACTCACCAGTACACACCTGAAAGAGCCAAGCACGCCAAGTGGCAGACAGTGAGGTGTCCTGGAAAAACGCTGGATCGCTGCTACCAAAACACTGAGCTGCATAAATGAAAGATGGCATGTTTTAATTGTCCATTCATCAGTCACCTGTTCAACCGTGTAGTCGCGTGGACATTTAGAGACAATGTTCTGGGTGGATAATGTTTCAAGGCCCAAACAGGGATCCTGGAATTGTCACCCACCTTCCGAACATATCTTGCATAATTGAACAACGCAAAATGAATGTCAGTAGACTCAAAGACTTCCTTCAAAGTCTGTACACTATCGGCATCATCCTCGCTATGCATCTGTAGGTCCCTGGCGTTCGAGTAATCAACCTGGCCCAGCCCGTGGGCTTTCGGGCCCACAAGGGCACTGCAAAATTCGTCGAATTTCGTCGAGCCAACAGCCGGGTCCCAGTTTTTGGCTTGCCAAGAACCGAGGGGACTCTGAATAAGATGCTCAGGCATATACCAGACCGTGAGATCACGGCTCGAACCTCTAAAACTGAAGCGAAGTCTTGGTCTTGTTTTAGGCCTCTAAGACCAAACAGACCCTTAACCCAGCCGCGAGTCAATTCTCTGTTGAGCAAGCTGTCGACGGCTTTTATGGACAATTCCAACGCGACCCGACAGTCGTGGGTGGTGTAATTCCTAATAATGTCATAGTATTCCCAGTTGTACAGTGCCGCGTGGGTCACAGCACTTGAGGCTATCGAGCCGAACACGAGAGACGGGTACAAAACACGCATATGTGCCGCCCGGGCGCCCGCGTAGGAGCCCTAGTGGTAAAATGGTGAGACGGGTGTTACGTTAGTGGAGTAGCCGTACCCCATAATAGATCCAAGGCCGACTTGGAGACGCAATGGTCTCATTTATCCCATCAACCTTTAGGTTAGCCATGAAGTTGGCAGAGTCGGCAGCGGCTTGAGCATTATTAAGCCAACTGCCAGTGGTACATAATTTCAGACATCAATTCAGACGCCTGAATAGGTCACTTGCCGCATGGAATCGGTGCTAAAGTTTGCAACGGGAATAGAAGTTCCTGAAATAGATGCCTTTCAGTACTCGTATATACAAGCTGGGCACGAGACGTACCGTAATATCTATGTTCCAGAACGATGCTCAAGCCACCTGTGACCTCAGCCAGGATATCCAAAACTCCCGTATCCAGGAAAGGTAACCGATCTTCACCAGACGTCTCCCCGCCATCAAGCACGAATACAGGGCCACCAGTTCTGTAATGACGTGTCGAAACCCAATATCTCTGCGGAAAAGTGTAGTTCAAAGAACTAAAGTGATCGAGAGGTTGAGTGAAGTAATACGCGGGGAATGCGGAAGGTTTGATGAGTGGTCGTTGGCTGTCAGAGATAGTGTGGCCGGGCCTAATTGATATAAACGACAATGAAGGGTTCCGTACACATGAGTGGTATGAACCTACATGTGTTCCATATCCTGGGATTGGTCTAGCATGTACATCTTGATGGCACCAGGCCCCCGACGGGCGGCTTCCCGGATGCCACTACCAAAGACCGCAGCAACTGCGCTTAAAACTGAGACACAAGATAAAGCGACACGCATGGCAGCGGACGAGGTGCTTAACGCAATCCCACGGGTTTGATGACAAAGACGTCAACGTCACGACGCGAGGTGTGTCGGTGTCACAGTGTGACGACGCGTAGCAGCGCAGTCGCGTCAGAACTCACAAGCCATCCTGACTTGATCCTGACCATAAGGGTATGAATAGTCCCCCATGTGCAGCCTCTTCGCACCCCCATCGATCGATAGGAGTGGTCAAGGCAATTCACTTCTTCCTCTTCATCGGAACGTTACTCACTTCAAACTAATCGGGCAGCATGAGAAGCAACCGGAGGCTTTCATAGATTGTCAGAGGTGGGTACTGATCTATCCCATAAATTTTATGACTGAAACCCCGGATAGGGTCCTGACAGAGGGTATAACTTTATCGTTGAGTACTCAGCGGCTGATTCTGACGACTTCCTATATATAGTTTTTGGCCATTCTGGATACAAAGGCAAGCAGAAGGAGATCATCGAAGCCGCGATATGTGGTATGAATCTTTATTAGATGCTGCGACACGGGTCTCAAATCTCCCTCATTTAACTCAGGTGTCGATGTACTAGTCATCGCGCCGACAGGCTTGGGCAAGGTTCATGTTCTTCCTCTTGGAAAATAGTCTTGTGTGAACATCCAGACATCTCTTTCACAGAGTCTCTGTTTCCAAATTCCTGCCATTGCCCGAAAGGTAAAACATAGATTTTCTCCATTGTCATGCCCCAAACCCAAGGCCTTCTTTCAATTTACAGAAGGGTGTCACGATAGTAATTTCTCCACTCCTAGGTGTGTAAATTTGAGATCTTTTTGGTAGTTTATCGTCTGTCATTCCCTGACTCACATGACCAAAGCATTGATGAAGGATCGTAAGCCCGCCCTGAGACGCCCTTACACAAAGCATGGTTTTACACTCATGTCCTCTTTATCAGAGGTAGCGAAACTTCGCGAAATCGAGGCCTCTGTAGCCGCATTCACGTCAGAAACTTCCGTCGATGAGAAACAACGAGTAAGTGACGCCAATCATTTCATTGTCAGCTAATCACCACAAAGATTTTACGTGATCTGCGTTCTGGCCATCCTACGTATCGTCTACTTTATGGTATGCCTCGAGCCCCCTCGCGTCACAGTAACGTCTAAACACCGGGGCATAGTCACGCCTGAAAAATTGTGTACTAGTGACTTCACCGAGCTATTAGAGATAGTGTATAGGCATCAGGAGTTAAATCGTTTGGTGGTTGATGAGGTATGTCAGTTTTATTCTTGGATTAGCTTGGTTTCCTGGATAGTTTAGACATAGGCGCACTGCATCTCGGTAAGTACCTCATATATGCAACAAAGAAATACCTTATGCCGGGTCATCTTTTAAAAATAGGAATGGGGCCATGATTTCCGCAAAGAATACCGTCGTCTTGGCTCTTTTCGCACTCGCTTTCCAGATGTTCCTATCATGGCCTTGACAGCTAGTGCCACAGCCAAGTATGTAATTATTATTATAGGTCTGATTGCAGTGATCATGGTCGGCACCTTATGCCTTTCAGCGTTCAAAACGACATTGCTACTTCACTAAAAATGTCAAGCAATATGTACAAGGCTCTCCACCCTTTCAACCGCCCGAATCTTTACTATGAGGCACGTCCTAATCTCCTTCTTTCCGACACATAATTCATTACTGCCACGCGTTCGACGTCGTCCAGGTTCGATATCTTCAAAACCCTGCACAGGCTGCCCAAATGGCCGATGTTCAAGCGTACATCAATACCCTTCACATCCGCCGCGGAAGGCCGTCTTCCGGGATTATCTACTGTCGCAAGAGAGCTACATGCGATGAACTTGCCAAGTATCTTCGTGGCAAGGGTCTAAATGCTCGCCCATACCATCGAGGCCTCAAGTGCGTTATGCTCGGCCCTCGTGTAAACATAATTGACGTTCACGCACGCACACACATTTGTTCTTGATGTGTCAAGGTCTGCTACACTAGATAGGACCCTGGAGGACTGGCAGATCGGTGGTTCTGGATCGGGCGGTGTCGATTTGGTGCATCTCTGGTTTAAACACTTCATAGGGCGGATCCATACTAACAATCAACCTGGGCAGGTGGTCGCAACGATTGCATTTGGGTGTGGGATTGACAAAAGCGACGTGCGGTAAGACGGTGTCCATTTGGTTTATTGCCAGGCCTCACGTGAGAAGCAGCTATGTCATCCACTATGATTTACCGAGAAGTCTTGAGGGTACGCATGGACCCACCCGCATCAATTCAGGATGGTCTTATTCTGTAGCTGATTTATAAACGGTGTCTCCCAGCATACTACCAA